TATCAGACCTATGCTGGGTCAAGGATAGTTTCCCAGAAGCATCAAAACAAACGTATCTCCGGCAAGTCAGACCCACAAAAGCTAAGACCCTCCAATATGCCAGGTGTGCCAAAATGATCCTCATGCTTGGCAGCATGATCCTCCCTAGCTTGATGTGGCTTTTAAAATGATAGATGTTTACTTTGATCCCCAGGTCAGGTTTCAGCCTGAAAAGCAGGCTGTGGGGAAACCTGTCAGGTCAAAGACATGACAGCGAAGACAGGAAAGCGAAGAGAAAAATTAATACTGTTTTACTTTGGCTTTACAATGTTTTAAGACATGAGGGTCTAACATGCTCAGCAACATCGGATGTGCAAGAAGATATACGGGAAGCAAACCACGTTATATAGACCGGCTGATGTTGTAACCCCCCCCGTCTAACATGGTAGGCCAAATCAATATTTGCGCTATAGGCTTTTCATGTTAGACACCAGATTTTGGGGTCGAGTCTGCTCTGTATACCTGAGGTCCCTTTGAAGTAGTTGCATATATAAAAAATGACCATCCTACGCGGCATAGGTATCAAAAAAACATATTTACCGAATCAAAAAATAAATATTTACTGAATCAATAAACAAATATTCATTGTGCGATGAAATCCCTTGGAATTCCCAGTCGTGTAGGTGGCCGGTCCTCTGGTCCGCTGGTCCCCTGGTCCGCCGGTCCTCTAGTCCGCTGGTCCTGGTCCGCTGGTCCCCTGCAGTCCGCTGGTCCCCTGCAGTCCGCTGGTCCACTGGTCCGCTAGTCCCTTGATCCTCTGATCCTTCGTCTTTCTTTCTTTCTTTTTCGCAGCTGTTCTCCTTTCTCTTTTTTGCTTTTGCTTTTCCTTTTGTTCGCTTTGCAGAGACGAAACCAAACAAGGAAGCAAGCAAGCGCGAGCTGCTCACCTTTGGATTTGGTGTGCTGCTGGGGGGGGGGGCGCCCCCCCCCCCCAACCCCCTCCGCGCCACGAAATCTGCGCTTCATCCCCGACACCCGCGCCTGCCACGAAATCAATATTTTGAGGTGAACTCCCCGGCGCAAAAATTTCTAACCAAGCAAATATGCCCCCTCTATCTATCTATCTATCTATCTTTCTTTCTTTCTTTCTTTCTTTCTTTCTTTCTATCTTTCTGCAGTTCAACATCCACAAAGTCCTGCACCTGCCGCGAAATCTGCACTCCAAGGTCCACAAAGTCTTGCGCCTGCCACGAAATCTGCACTCCAAGGCCCACAAAGTCCTGCGCCTGCCACCAACTCTGCACTTCCACATCCACAAAAACCTGCATCTGCCACGAAATCTGCACTTCAAGGTCCACAAAGTCCTGCGCCTGCCACGAAATCTGCACTCCATGCCTGCCACAAAATCTGCATTCCAAGGGCCACAAAGTACTACACCTGCCACGAAATCTGCACTTCAAGGTCCACAAAAAGTCCTGCGCCTGCCACTGGCCACCAACTCTGCACTTCAACATCCACAAAGTCCTGCACCTGCCACGAAATGTGCATTGCAAGGTCCACAAAGTACTGCGCCTGCCACGAAACACCACGACTACCACTACGATACTGCTGCTATTATAGTACTGTTGCTACTCTTACTGCTACTGCTATTCGGAATATTTTTTGAGTCAGTATTTCTTTTTGATGCGTGTAGAATATTTTTTGTTGATACGTTAAATTCTTTTTGATCTCTCACCCATCCTACGCCGCTCGTTTTTCCAGCTGTAGGCATGCTCGAGTGTCACGTCAAGTTTCAGTTTCACATACAGCCTGACTGCTTTTCACCTCCGTGATGTGGTGCGTTTAGCCTGCTGACATGCGTGGTGACCATGGGAAATACCCTCTTAAATAGTGTTGTCCCGTGCGAGGTCGATGCGTCAATGGCAACCGGTGGATCTAAATGGTTGTACAACGTGGTGGTGACTACATTCGTCGCGATCATCATCATCATCATCATCAAACGTGGCTTCATCGGCTTCCACGTCTCTTTTGCCTCCACATGTTCTCGGTAGCCAGGCTTCCGGAACATTGCCGGAGTGTGTCTGGAACAGATGGTCGTGGTCGAAAGTTAGGAATTCGTTAGCCTTCAAAGTCGATGCAGCGGATCATGCCGCCGGCAATCATGGTGTGCAAAATTCAATATATCTATATATGTATACATACAGTATATATATATATAAACATGTTCAGGGGACCATTAGTTCACGTACCTGCTACAGGGCGGTTCGTTCCTGTCTTTGTCTGCCTGCCTGCCTGGCTGGCTGGCTGTCTGTCAGTTTGTCTGTCTGTCTGTCTGCCTGCCTGCCTGCCTGCCTGCCTGCCTGGCTGGCTGGCTGGCTGGCTGGCTGGCTGGTTGGCTGGCTGGCTGTCTGTCTGTCTGTCTGTCTCTCTCTCTCTCTCTCGTTACCTGGCGAGCGTCACTAGTCACTGAGTCGTCTCGCAGAGGCGCCTGACTGCAAGTTCCCCTACAGGCCGGAGACCGTGGGGAAAACCGTGCCAAACGGGACTATGCTGGCATCCGCAAAATGCGACAAGGGGCCAGAGGCTACAGAGAAGAAGCAGAACTTACTGGACTCAGAACTGGATCAAACAACGAGACAAGGACATGAGCAAAGAAAGACATGAAATGAACATATAATTTGAACCGAACCATCTACGCATCTGCACATCCGACGCGCGATCCCGGTAAAAGTAAAGGGTTGCCGGAGCAAACCCAAAACAGCCGCTGCACCACTCCGCAAGTCAACACATGAACTATCAACTATTAAACACTACACCGTCACGACAAAGTCAGGCCATATTACAAACCGTTAAGCCACATAAAGCCATCACATCACACGGAACCACAGCACATTGAACCCTAGTACTTACCACATCACAACACACGAGATAACACAAACCACTACACCACATTTGACTACACATGGCAACATCTTGCGCGTACATACATCACCACATCTAAATCCTGCCTCATGGCTTTGGCAGAGCTTACTTGCCTGATGTGCTTGTCGATGGCACCCCAGGATTGCCATTTTGGTATGGTCGTTGCGACCCTAGGGCCAATGAACGCCGAGTCGAGATAGCTGGGAGCTTGAAGCGAGCATTGCGACCACCAATTGACGACAATTTCCTTGGTGTTTTTTTGGAAGCATTGCACATGCAAGGTCGCGCATGCCTTGGGAATTCCTGGCGCTTTGCACTCCCATGTGCTGGTGGACACTGATGTTTTGCAACGCGCTTGCCCCCCATCGATACAAAGTTGCAACCAAGAGGGGGTGTATAATGAGTCTGAAAGTTCACGTTGTTCGCACACTGGAGGAAAGCTTCGAGTTGGTCATGTGTGCCATCAGCTGCCCTAGGGTTTTCTGGTCCTTATTGCCTCTTGGCTTGGTACTCTGCCATGCTGTTTGCAGCAGCGACCGCTTTCCACAGATGAGGCACCCGAAGGTACAATGGAGTTTGTGACCGGTGCTGGATACCAGGCGCCTGCCATGTCAACGATGTTCGCAGCAACTCCACAATTGGTGCCGGTCCGGGTGCTGTACTTCATACGTCTTTGGAAAAGTTTGCAAGCAGCAACGTACACTCAAAGTTTTGCTGTGTCAATGTGATGCATTTGGTTGCGCACTGAGGGCAAGCCTTTAGTTTGATGCCCAACAACTTTGCAGTGCTAGTAGTGGTGAGACAGAGCAGATGTTTGAAAGTCAAGCTATTTCTTGATGCCAGGCGTGAAGACAGGTCCAGTTCCGTTGCAAAAGCCCTGGTGCCCTTTGGGAATTCTGGAAAGTCCTACCTATAAAGACCCTCAGCTGCGCACAAAGGCATTCATACTTGATATACTTGCAGCATTGTTTGACAGAGGCTGTCTGCACGTCCAAGTAAATATGTTTGTGGTTACGCATCACGGGTTGCAAAGAGCACGTCTTTATGCAGCGAGCTGCTCACTGAAATCTATGTTGCACACTTTCGGGAATGCTGTGACATTTTGCTGCCTTGGAGTGTTCAGGACCAACGAATTGAGTGGCTTGGATTTCGCAGTAAAGCTACGGTGGGATGTACGTGCTGAGACGGTGGCACATATATCATATCGGACCACTATTGTCACGAGGGACTGGTAATCAAAGGTCGCGTGACTGAATGGTGAAAAGTCTTGTGCGTTATCTAACGCTCTATTTAGTTTTGCCCCGTGCGCGTGCTCAATTGAAGACCCTTTTTGCTTCGGGCACACTGCCAGGATCGAATGCAAAAGCAACTTCGCGTCTCAACATTGCTGCCTTTACACAAAAAAATGCCAATGGCCAAGCCGTTTTTGATGTTTTCGTTCACTACTGTCTTTGTGGTTTTTGAAGGCAGCATTCAAAGCTTGGCTTGAGGTGATGGCAGTTCGGATCCGATGTCCGCAGACCTTACTGATGATGGTTTGGCACTAGTAGCATCAAGGAAGCCGTATGAGCGATCACATGATTCACATGGTAGGGCCTGGGGCGGCCTGGGGCATACACCGAGTTCCCGGTATCACGGCATGGCTTGCACATTGGGATTGCAGGAAAAGCACCGCAGACATGGAACAGTTCTTGAGGCGTGATGGGCTTAGAACACCTTCTGTACAAATGAGGCCATGGAAAAGTTTAGGAAAAGAGGAGAAAAGAAGACAAGAGCTTTTTCAATAGGCTTTAACTTTAATGAGGCTCCTCAAAGGGACGCAATGAATATGCCAACGCTGTCCTTCCCCCATTGTGGGGACATGCCCTTAGTGAGAGATTGAGATCGGCTCAGGTGCTGCTGCAGCTCACAACCGCTACAAAGACCTCCCATTGCAAAAAGAAGACATGTCACTTGGATTCAATTGGCCCTATTGCGATTGGCTGCGGCATCCTTGTGAAGGTAGAACTCTTTTCACATGCAGTTGATTCATCATGGATTTCAACTCATGTGATCCAGAACAGATGCCAGGAAGTGGGCTGCGTATTTTGCCTGGAATGATGCACCGCTTGGCAGGACACTTGAAGAGGCATGTTGCAGAAAAACAAGATTCATATCAAGTGCAAGCAGCATGCACAGGCGCTGGCAGAGGTCAAGTTGTTTCTGACCTCGGAGCACCCATTGATCAGAGTAATAGCTGCGCAGAGCCAAGATCACCATTTTGAGCTTACTTGAGGAGTATACAGAGGTAGATCACATTTCCATTTCATTCCCTTCCCACGCATTTGGGAGCTTCCTCAATGCATAAAGCACACTTTCATGCTGTAGGTGTCAACCACCACGACCACTACGCGTCCGCAGCTTGCGGGACCAACGACAACTCTTCCAAAAAAGCTTGAATGTGTGGAACACAGCGTTCCGCGGTTGCATTTGGCATTGGCCACGCAGACAGTAGCAGGGGCAAGGCTGAAGCCACTCCTACCCGCTGCATACCATGATGCCGCATCCTGCCACTGGTTTTGAGGGGTTTCGGATTTCCTTAAGCTGTTTGAACTGCAGCTCAGTGTGAGGTCAGCTTTGCACCAATAGACATGCCGGGCACTGTGCCCAGCACTTCGTCTGTCGAAGAGTGCCAAAAGCGATGTGCCAAGACTCTTGGGTGAGCCTTGCCGGCAATTTGGCCATACGGGCAATGTGTTGTGTAAAAATGCGCGTTGCACTTGGACTGGAGGCTTTCACTTTTCCTTCTTGGACAGTATAAAGAGCTGCCACCTGCACAGCTTTTCGGCTTTGCCACAGGCAGGCAACGGATTTGAACAGTCTTCAAGATTCAGCCGTTTAGTTGTTCAGCCTTTAGTGAACGGCTTTCAGCTTTTGAGAGGCGAACAGCTTGGGCTGGCTCTCTGGACCTCCTCAATGTTGGCAAGCCAAGCAGGAAGCCTGGGCCACATACGCATTTGGCAATCCACAGCCACAACGTGCTGCAAGAAACCTGATTCTCCCCAACTCTCCTATGCATTGTTTTTCTTAGTTCCCAACAATTTGTAACGGTTACGTTTTTTACATGAACCAAAGTCTTCACAACTCTTTTTTGCGACTCGCGCTCCGGCTCCACAGTTTGATAAAATATGTTGGTTCATTTGCGTTGCCAATGCTTCAAAAGCACGTTGCTTCGATGTATCGTTTGTTTATTTGCTTTGCCATCACCACCCACAAAACAAAGTATTCTTTGGGTAGCGCGCGCAACCACTCTCTCTTCCTCTCTCTGAACATTAAGACAATATATGTAAATACGCCCCCGTGTTTAAAGGCGTAGGGAGGTTAAGTGAGAGTTTTTCACCGCAGCACTGGCTCAGCGCATGTGGGGCCACCCGGCGGCCTGCAGCTGCACTCTGTGCACGTCGCTTGAGCGGCTGCATAGAGTTGTCAGCCTAGCCAGGGCGACACCGAGGTTCGTTGAGTACTCCACGGTCAGGATCCGCAACCTGATCGGAGAGCTCAGCGATTTCCTCGAGGCACATCCTGAGGAAAGGGAGGACCTGGCACGTCCTCCTCCTCAGGTCGGAGGAAAGGGAGCCGGACGCGAAGACCAAGGAGGATCCCAAGCAGCAGCAGGCCAGGGGGTGGACACGGAAGCAAAGGCTCCACAAGAACCAGCAGGAGAAAAGGCAGCAGGGGCAGGAGATACACTACCAGGCAGTGCAAGAGATCATCAACCCAGAGGCATCGCAGTGAAGAGAGAAGAGGACGAGGAGGACTCGACAGAACAGCAAGGCAAGAACTCGGCAGCAGAGACCAAGGCACCTCGAAAGGAGGCTGACGAGCCTGAACCCCATCGAGGAGAAGTTGAAGGGGGGACCGAACCAGAGGCCAGTGGAGAAGGCGAAGAAGAGCGCAAAGGTGATCACGGTGTAAGGGAGGTAGTGCCAGAATCTCCTCACCGAAGAAGAAGAAGAAGGAAAAGGAGTGCGAGTCGTACAAGGTCTCCAAAGGTCAGAAGAAGAGGAGAAAGTTCCCATCGTCGACGAAGGAGAGCAGCCAGTGGGGTCAGGGAGAAGGAGGTCAAGCCCAGCCAAGCCCCAGAAGGGAGGGAGGAGCGTCGGGAGGTCAGGAGGCCGAGATCTCCCTCGAATCCCCCTCCTGGGTTTACAGGACAAACCATTCTGGTGCCGGCTCGCCCTGTCTATCGTGGACCCCCTGACAGCCCAGAGTATCGCCCATACGAAGGTGCAAAGAACAAAGGAAAGAAGAAGGTTGAGACACAGCGCTACTTCAAGGACTACGTGGCGGAGCGCCGGGCCGAAAAGAGAAAAGCCCGGGAAGGCAGAGAGGAGCACTGGTAGAAGAAGGTTGGATGCCTCCTAGGCCGCTGAGACGACCGGCGGCTGAAGGGAGGTTGAGACGAGGAGGAGATCGAGGAGACGCTGACAGAGAAGGAGGTCGTGAAGGGGCGCTCAGGAGAAGACCAGCCGCTGCAGAGGAGCGTACGACAGGTTTTGAAGCTGGAGAGGAGGTGGCCGTGGGAGTATGGAAGCCAGGAGGGGTGTACTACAGCAGGGAGATCACCATCGCGGTCGAGGTGGATGCATTGAGATTCCATGGAGGAGCTCTGGAAGTTATGACCTGGGTGACAGGAACCCAGGACGAGGGACTTCTCCGATGGGTGTCGGGGAATGCAGGGGTGCCTTTGAGATGCCACGTATGCCTGGAGGACTGCGCCAACATCCCAGAAGGGGACGATATTCTACATCTCAAGAAGGTGAAGCATCGGGGTGCAGACAGCCCGCCTTGGGCCGACAATCTCAAAGAGCCGACGGGGATGGAAGAACTACGGCGCCTGGCGGCGCGATCAGACGCTCTTGCACGAGGAGTGGAGGAGGCGAAGGACATGGAGAAGAAGGAGAAAGAGGCCCATCCCCCAGCAGGGCAAGAAGTCAAAAGCACCAGCGGGTCCAGCGGAGGTCGAAAGAAGAAGAAGAAGTCCTTCAAGCCAGCGGGAAAGAAGGAGCACTCAGCCTTGTACAAGGGCACTGGCCTCGATCAGGATGCTCGAACCCGAAAGAAAGTGTCCCGACTGGCGAGACGGGCTATGAAGAAGAAGTCAAGGAGCTCAAGTTCAACCGGGACGAGCTCAACCTCGGAAGCGGTGGATGGGATGGAAGATCTCATTCAGGAAAGCCAGAGGACGCAGTTGGCTTCAAAAGCAGGGCCCGGAGCCTTGGCATATCACGCCATCCGCCAGATGAGGAAGCAGATGCTGCAGGAACAAGGCCAAGAAGGCGTGGAGATGAGCCCCGTGGGGGCTGTTGGATTGCAGTTCTACAGACAGATCCTGCGGCCCAAGATGACGCCGGTGATGGCTCGCGAGGCATTGAACATTTCAGCGGCATTGGACGCCCTTCTGAGCTGCCAGCCAGCTCATGCAGCAGACGTTTTGGTGCAGAGGCTCAAGGCACTAGAGAGCATGGCGAGCGGGTCGTCATGGCAGATGTCGCAACGCTTCGAGATCGTGCCGATGGACCTGGGAAGCTTATAGCATCACAGGCGGAGGCAACTGCAG